TTAGCTAGACTGCCTTTTCCCCAAAAGATAGTAATTCAGAGACCCTCCAGGGCCTAAAATTTTATTATCACAATAAAAAAAGAAAGTGGGAGGGTTGTTGTTCGGTGCCCTAAAGTTGGTTCTGACTCATATTAACTTCATGCAAAACAGAACAAAACACTGCCTGGTCCTACACCATCCTCACAATCGTCCGGCTTGAACCTATTGCTGCTGCTAATCGGGTGGGTGGGTGGTGGTCTTCTTTTTTCTGACCCTCCACTTTACCTAGAATGATCAATTTCAAGTAGAAAGAAACAAGTAAATCAAGGATCTGTTTTGTTATGGCAGGATGGAATGGGATGAAGTTATAAAATAACCATACTTTAAAAAGAACTTTGTTAAAAAATTCAAATTGCGAAATTCATTACCTCTCGTTATTACATTGACATTTAAAAACAAAAGAGGGCTTTCACAATGTTGATGAATTCATCTTTGAGTACATGATTTATAAATATATAAACTGTCCATGCATACTTTTACAATAATAGGTTTTAGAAGAATAAGAACTTTTAAAAAGCGAATCAAGGCAGGTTGTATTTCATTCCAGCTGCCTCTTTTCCTTTGTGTTGGTAATACCACCAAGTCTTGAGAGATGCTGGGGGGTCAGTGTCACCTCTATCCCAGTCTCTTTTCTGAGCCTGCGCAGCTGATGATGAAAATGTGGTATATCTTCTACCTTAGCTTTGATGCTGGAAAGGAGGTAACGGGGGAGAAAAAGAAAAGGTTATATAGCTAAGTGGTTAACAGAATCAAATTCATCTTCACAAATTAAAATCTAACACTGATGCACTCACTACCTAGGGTTAACAGTTGGGCTGCAACCCAAGGTCAGCAGTTTGAATCTCCCGGGGAGAAAGATGAGGCTTTCTGCTCCCTACAGCCTCAGAAACAATACAGGTTGCTATGAGTTGGAACCACCTGTTTCTTGTTATGTGCTGTGGAGTCGGTTCTGACTCATAGCGACCCTGTACAGGGTTTCCGAGGCTGAAAATTTTTATAGGAGCAGAAAGCCTCATCTTTCTCCCACAGAACAGCTGGTAGTTTCGAACTGCCGACCTTGCGGTTCGCAGCCCAATTCGTAACCTCTAGGCTACCAGAGCTCTTTGCCAACTGCTTACCACCATCCAAATGGTAAGCAGTCTTAGAAATTATTACTATTTACCACAAAGAAAAGTCAGCCAAACACTGACGGCACAATCCATTTGGAAGTCTGTTATCTATTGAAAAAACAACACTATTGTCTATTGGATGACAACTCCTAAGGAACCTAAAGGACAGGTTAGAACCTAAAGGACAGGGTTCAAACCAGACCTTTTGGTTAGCGGCCAAGCACTTAACCACTATGCCACCAGGACCCCTTGTGATCTGTAAGTTGTTGTTGTTGTTAAGTGCCATCGAGTCGGTTCCGACCCATAGCGACCCTGTACAGGGTTTCCGAGGGTGTAAATCCTTACAGGAGTAGAAAGCCTCATCTTTCTCCCACGGAGCAGCTGGTAGTTTCGAACCGCTGACCTTAAGGTTCGCAGCCCGATTCGTAACCACTACGCTACCAGAGCTCCTTGTGATCTGTAAGTACTCACAATTTAAAGTGATAATGGAAACACTTAAAATACAACTTTTTCCAGGCATGCTCTGCAAGTAAGAGTTCTAACAGCAGAATCACAAAAACACTTATTGTTCTAAATTAAAGGCAGCTGAATTCAGGTAGTAAGTAATTCAGAGCACTTCACATTGAGTCAGGATATTTAGGAGATGTGAAGGTTATATATTTCTGGGGTTTACACTATTAGAAACTGTAAATGTATGTCTGCAAATAGTGACAAGTTGAGGCAGATATACTCTTTTTGGGTACTTTCTAGCACCTTTGGTAAATTTAAACTTGGCTATAGACAACTTTTAAGCAGGGCGTGAAGAAATCACGTTGGCTGTCACCTGTATTTGAATGGGTTTCCTTAACATTTAGCAGTGAAAGTGAATCAATCTGAGAGTCTTTTTAGTAATCAGAGTTTTCAAGGTATGACCTATTTTCTAGCTAAGCCAGTCACTCCAGTCTTCTTCAAAGACTTAAAAACAAGCTAAATTCCACAGCAAAAGCAAAACAGAAGTCTTTCTCCTTTTAGGAAATGCAGTATTATCCAAAGAAACCATCATTAGTCTAAAGTGAAAACAAACCCCCCCCCACCCCAGCAGCTCTCAAATTTTTGACAGAAAAGACCAAGACTACAGCAGCACAACAGCTGCAGCTGTGCGGATAAAAGGTGTTGGCAGCTACTGCAGGCACACTGGACTCTGTCATTAGTGAGTACACTGGACAGAGAGCCTAGCCTGTGGTGTCAGTCACAGCCTTCCTAAGTGCTTCAATTGTAGTCGATCAAAGGGAAAACACAGGTACCTCCTCAGAGCTTTACCGTGGGATACAAGACTTCCCCTGATTTATCCAATCTGACAGGCTGAAATTTTTATTTTTAAATATTTGCTACTTTTTATCTAGAATCCCAGTTCTTTCCACCAAGGGAGTATCTACTCCATATTGCAAAGCTTGCCAAGACTGGACATAATTAATGCGCAAAAGAAAACCCAAACCAAAGCCATTGCCATTAAGTCAAATTCAACTCCTATTGACCCTTCAGGACAGAGGGTTTAAAAGGCTGTAAATCTTTATGGGTCTCATCTTTCAAGGAGCACATGGTGGATTCGAACTGGCAACCTTTTAGGTGGCAGCTGAGTATTTAGCCACTCTGACCACAGGGCTCCAATGATCAAAAGATAATCTCCTGAAATGTACACACACTTGATTTTCTTACTTCTCTTTCACATTTTATATATAGTCATTTTCCCTCTTGGGATAAAAATGTTCTCAGGAAAATGGACCAAGTAATTAAGCTGACAACTTCTTTCTTTGAGCCAGTAATGATAGCTTCTTAAGTCTTTGTCAATCACTCTTCGTTCTCCTTGACTAAGACAATACCTTGGAAAAATTACCTCTGACAGTCATGATAAAGATACCCTTTCCAGAGTCAGCTGCTGCTCTGTTAATTACCACTCTCTCATGGGTAAACTGGTCAACCACAATGACTGATTCTAGGTGTCTTGGAATGACTGATAGAAAATGGAGATTTTTTTTTTTTAATCTGAATGTATTTATTTAAATCTTTTCAAAAGAAAAACCAGACACTGCAACTGTTTGCTAGATCCCACCTGTCAAAGGCCAATATGCATTTTGTCTTTCAGACCAAAATAACAAAAACAAAACACCAGTTGGTCAGACCACAGAGATGTATTCTCCTCAAAGTTGCAGAGTAGCCATAAAGTATTTTTAAAATCCTACTTTAAAGAGCTGATGTCTCTGTCTGGTCTTGAGATATCAACAATGCCAGGTGATTCATTTCTACTTGCTAGTTGGCTTTAAAATCCAACTAAAATCTAATTTTAGAGCAAAGGATCAATTCTGGGCAGAAGAACAACAGACGTTTTCTGGTACGTGGCTTGATACTAGGTGTTTGTGTTTTTGGTTTTGATTTTATCTCTGAGTTAGCAAAATTGCCTAATGTTTGCCAGTCTCTTTTACATGCAAAAACCTCAGGTAAGAGACAAAATAGCTGGGGAAGTCCCTGGGTCTCAGTGGGCCTCCATCCAATGGGCTCTCAGGGTGGTGTTTAGTGGGAAATGGCTTCAATACCACACAAGTCTAATGGCACACAGATCAGATGACCTGTTATCAGGATGCGCTTATCTTGAAGAGGTTCAACACTAGCAAAACTCTATGTGCCCTCTAAGTATCTCCCTTTTCACAATCAGCTGACTTCCATTTTCAGTGGCATCAACAGTCTAAAATTAAACTTGGTTACTAAGAAAACATGTTTATTTGAAGGAAGTTGAAACACATAATTCAAAGATTATGATGGAATGACGGCCTTCTTTCTGGCTTTCTTCAGGTAGTTAAGTGCTAAAGATTGGCATGATGACAGCACTGGTATTTTAGGGATGCCAAGTCCATGCCTGAGGACTCTCAGGAGGCTCACATAGTACAATCAATCAAGGACATACAGCCCAGGACATGGGCTTTCTACAGTTTTGAGGTTCAAGAAGCCATTTCAAGTTTAAACAGACCACCTCTTCATATGTAACACACACACATTTTTTCACTCTGCTATATGGAAAATAAGGAGCTATGGTAGCGTAATGGTTATGAATCGGGCTGCGAACCTTAAGGTCAGCGGTTCGAAACTACCAGCCGCTCCGCGGGAGAAAGATGAGGCTTTCTACTCCCATAAAGATTTACACCCTTGGAAACCCTGTACAGGGCGCTATGGGTCGGAACCAACTCAATGGCACTTAACAACAACAACATATGGAAAATATTTGGGACATGCCTACCAATGAAAAAAAGTATCCTCCAGGGTCTGCAGCCCAAATATTATTCTCTGTACTGATTTCTTATAGTCCAGTATATTTGAAGGGTTACCTTTCAGAACCCATGTAAGATGGGGAAGTACAATAGAAAACTGATGGGAAAAAACACTTGAGGGAAGGCAGAATACCTCTCAAGAACAAAAACCGAGTTTGCTACAGTAATGAGGAAGTGAAGGTTCACCCATTACCTTCCTGTCTCACCCTGGAAAGGGAGGTTGGTGTCTCGAGTAGGCTGCAGCTCTCTAGCCCCTCCCTGTCAGAGCCCCAGGAACCTCCACTCTGGGATACCCAAGGAGGACTGGCAAGAAATGTTTGAAAGTATTACATGAGAGAATCCAAAAAGCTACAAACTCATAAAGTCCAATTTACATGGCTCCCTGAAGCTTTGGATTCCAGCTTTAGATTAAAATCCTGGTGTGGCGCTGTAGGATCAGCGCTGGACTATAAATCACAAAGTCGGCAGTTCTAACCCACCAGCTGCTGACTGGAAACCCAATACAGGGTCGCTATGAGTCAGAACTGACTCGAAGGCACTGCACAATAAACTTTTATGTGCCATCTCTTTGCTCAAGAAAAGACACAATCTGGGGGCAAAAGAGGCACATAAATGAAGCTAGCTCATGACTTATGATCTGAAAGAGGCCTGCATAAAGTGCCAAAGGAACTTCAAGAAATAAGGGAACAATTCAATTCCTTCAACTGACTGAGGAAATGACAGTAAATTAGTAAAAGAATGTCTAGTAGTGATTCTGGAAATTGCTGGAATGAACAGCCCCACCCTAGCCTCTAAATTCTTTCTGGTCCAAGCCCCCAGGGTCCAAACAGAAGGCTCTAGGCAACAACTCACTGTAAAAAATCCACAGGCCCACAGCAGACTAAGTCTTAAGAACAGACAGGGAAAAGCTATGGTATGTGGACATTATTCCAACCACATTCCCATCGGCAAATTGGACTGGCCAAACAAGTCTAGTCTGGCCCTCAGCTAGAGCGAGGATGAGTTACTGTTACATTTTTTTTTTTTTTTAAATAAAGTGTATTCCATACAAAAGCTAAATTACTTGTGCTTTTCATACATGTATTTCATTAAAGAAACATGAACTTAAACTTTTCTAATATTTCTGTAAAATGTGTTTAAAATAAGTACTGATTTACTCATTTTATAAAAATCTTAGTTTAAGACCTATAAATCTGACTACATGAAAACTCTGAAAGGTCAATCCAAGCACAAGAGTATTAAAAACAGTTTACCAACTGGCATCCCCTAATCATTCAGAAATATTTTCAATTATGTCTTTTTTTAGTAACAAAGTAGTCATTTCAGTCATTCCCCAAAGCATACCAAAATGTTAATTCTTCTTTGGTAATACCAAAGTTTCTAATTTCTGCTCTGGAGAAGAGATTTCTTTTCAGTGGGATATCTTTATTGTTCATTGTTCTTTACTCCTGAATTCCTCAAGTTCAATACAGTACCACCTGGCTCTTTGATTTTTAGCAGTTTTCTATATTCACAAGATTATCCTCCATGGGTTAAGAAGTAAACCCTTAGTTTAATCATGGGAACAAAATCGAAGTGGGAAACTAACAATTTCACCCACCACTTACTTAAAAATCAATCAAAAAGCTAAAACAGAAAAGGTCGAGTTTTCATGGTATTCAACCAACAGTGCATCATTTATCATTGTGTTATCTACTTATGAAAAGGTTTAGAGCAATAAATAAAAATAAAAGGGCCTAGACCCTTTGGGTAGTAAACAAAAGTATTCAAATAGCAATATACTCTAGTTGTTTCCCATGATTGCTCAGAAACGTCCTCAAGATGCTCTCCACGTGTGGATACACCTGCAAAAAAGCTACTTATGTATTTTCACACCTCCCTAGAAAAAAATACAAGAGGCCTTTCTTTTAAAGAAACTCTCTGAGCCAGTCTATTAACAGCTTTGTCTGCTATTTGTCACCAGGGAACCCAGGCAGAAGATGGTTTAACATGAGGCTCCCAGCTGACTCTTGTGAGGATCTTGGATAAACAATGAGAAGACAGACCTATATCTATCTTTTGGCTGAAAATTGAGCCACAGGACTGATTTCAGTTCCTGGCTTGAAGGATAACGAAGAGCCACGGTCTCCAAGTTCCACTAGTCTCTACAGTCTTGTGCGCTGTGAACAAAGAATGAAGATCATCTCAACAAGTGACAACAAATAAGAACACAATGTTTCCAGAGGGCATCTGATGCACCAAGTCAGTGTTCCTATTGGACTTTTCTGAAGGCCAGGATTGGGGAGCTTTGAAAGGCAAGCATTTAATAAAATTTTTCAGAGCAAGTTCTAACTGTTTCATCCCTCTTGGATGTCTATCTCTGAGATCATAAATGAGCCAGAGCAAAAGAGAAGTGAAAAGTTAAACTGAAGTCCCCACTAAATAGTTCACCTTGTCTAGATGGGTCTGGCAAAAAGAGATGGGGATAAGATTCTTATGATTCAACAGTAATTGTTATCATAACTAATTGTGACTGTCACAATTGTACAAGAAGTTTTATAATAAAAACGGGGGAGTAGTTAATCTTACAGTCCAGAAACAGAGGATCCTAAGACCATTAAGGGAGAAAAGCACAAGCAGAATGTGGGATCTTATCCAGAGAAGCAGTGACACCAGAGATGGAGGCAGAGATGGGGATATGGAGAGAGGGAGCAGCTAAGGACTCTAGGTTCATGGGAAGAGAGGGACTGAGAGCTGGCAGCCAGGAGGCAGACTTGCAGAATGTGCCCTTTGGTGGCGTAAACTATTATATATGTTTTTTAAAAAAGCACACATCAACAAAAAAAATTATTATATGTGTTGTTGTTTTTTTAAAAAAAGAGCTAAACTGAATAGAAATACTACTAACTGATGGTGCATAGAGGGGATTATAATCATTGTAATGAAACAAGGTATATGATTTGTTGAATGTAAAACTGATGATCTACCCTATAAACTTTCACTCAATTCACAATACAAACTTTAAAAAAAAGTTAAACTGAAGATATCTGCTGGATCTCCTGGCTATACCAGGACTCAACACTGCCATTGCCTCCTGCCCTTGAAAGATACATCACAATAGTTTTTTCAAAAAAAGCAATATACTCTATACATATCATAAAGGCTAGGAACCTTAACTACTTACACTAGTTCATTAAATGCATTTGGAAATCCTATTTACCTTTTTCATTAATTCACTTCTGGTTGCAAACTGTGGCAGATCTTCCACTTCAATGCCATCGGCCATTTCCATCACCTTGTCTAACAGATCTTTGTTGTAACTGCACAATAAAAATAGTACAGTAAAAGCCTTAGAAGAATTGTCACTATGAGTTAATTTGAAATTGCAGGCTGCTAGACTGTAAGTTCAAGGACCTCTGGTAGCATAGTCGTTAAGAATCGGGCTACAAACCTTAAGGTCAGCAGTTCAAAACTACCAGCTGTTCTGCGGGAGAAAGATGAGCCTTTCTGCTCCCGTAAAGATTTACACTCAGAAACCTATGCAGGGTCACTATAAGTCGGAACAGACTCCACGGCACATAGCAACAAGACTGTAAGTTGAACTCTCAAAGACTGATCTGATTGATACTGTAGGAAAAACCTATTATATGTTTACCAGCAGCTTAAGTTCTTTCTGCTTATGGATACAGAAGTGGGCTTTCAGAATGCCAATAAAGCAGGTGTTTTGATCTTTACAAAAATAAAGGCGCCATACACCTGACAATACATATTCTTGGATATGGTATGAGAGACAAAAACAAAAGATTTTTTAAAAACACATGTGGAATGTGACACTAGTTAAACTTACATTATTTGCCCATTTCTCTGCCATCTGCCTAACCTGGGATGTTGTTGTAAAGTGCTACTGACTTCTGACTCATGGTGGGTGGTTACATGCCGTGAAGTCAATTACGATTCATAGTGACCCTGTACAGGGTTTCAGAGGCTGTAAATCTTTATGGGAGCAGAAAAGCCTCATCTTTCTTCCACAGAACAGCTGGTAGTTTCAAACTGCTGACCTTGAGGTTTGAGCCTGATTCGTAATCACTATGCTACCAGAGCTCCTCTTACTCATAGCATCCCTCTGTAGGGTTTCTGAGGAGAGACTAGGGTATTTGAACTGCTGACCTTGTGGTTAGCAATTCAGTGCTTATCCTACAGTGCCACACCAGGACTCTATAGATCCTGTTAGCCTTGGAAACTAGAAGGTAGAAAGAAGGAATCTGGCCCTGCGTCCCCAAATCCTATTCTGATGATCCCCTCAAACTAAATCTGTTGCTGTCCAAATTGATTCCAAATCCTGGTAAACCTATAGGGCAGAGTAGATCAGCTCCATAAGGTTCCCAAGGCTGAAATCTTCACGGAACCAGGATGTCACATCTTTCTCCCACGGAACAGATGTGGGGTTTCAACGACTGATTTTTCAGTTAGCAACTCAGCTCTAAACTACTGCACTACCAGGACCGAATCTGTCCATAGGGTTTCCAAGACTATCAATCTGTACAGAAGCAGATTGCTACATCTTTCTCCCTTGGAGCAGCTGGTGGGGCTGAACTGTTGACCTTCTGGTTAGTAGCCATGCAGTTAACAATTGTACTAGCAGAGCTCCTTCTGGTGGGACACACTGAAACAAAACCAAGCCCACTGCTATCAAGTTGATCCTAACTCATAGCCCCGCTATAAGAGAGTAGAACTGCTCCCTAGGGTTGCCAACGCTGGAAATCATTGTGGATCCTGCCACAGTTGCTAGTGGGTTTTAACTGAGCTTTCAGTTAGCAGTCCAACACTTAACCCACTGCACCAGAGGGCCTTCAGATTGGGTGTCGGGGGCTGGGGGGTGTTTTAACAGGCACTGCAAAAGCAGGCTCTTGCCCTCTTGGTGAAATAGCCAGGATGCACATCTTGACAAAAAGGTGTCTGTTATTTTTCGTAAGAGGGACAGCAGACAGGTTCCTGCTCAGAGCCCAGCAGGCTGGGGACTGAGAAGAGATAGTCAAGTGGCAGATTACATCCTGTCATAATAACAAAATCCACCCACCTTGCCTGAAGTTGTATGACGTTAGACCTATCACTCCCCCTGCCTCAGCGTTTTCATCTATAAAATGGGGATATTGGTGTCTGTCTCTGCAGTTATCATAAGGGGATAAAGGAGCTAGTAGACTTAAAATGCACTCTATAAGATGGTTTGAGCTAATAGTAATAAAAATAACAACGACAACTTCAGCGCCTACTATGTGCTAAGTGCTTTTCACCCTTTAGTAGTATGGTCATCACAACAACGCATTTTGGCAATGACAAGACTGCAGCTCAGAAAAGGGACTACCAGGATGGGTAAGGGCCGCAGGCCAGGCCAAGGCTGGTGGAGGTTGGGGGCAGGATTAGCCTAGGGCAGAAGATCCATTCAGGACACAGCCCTGGAGGTGGGTGGTGGGTCGAAGGGCAGGGGGCCAGTCGGCCTGGCAGAGGTCCGCACCTGCAGCCCAAGAAGAGGTGGTTGGCCCAAACCATGGAGAGGGACAGCAGCTGGTCCAGGCGGCCGCCGCCGTCAGGCGGGTCGCGGTAGTTGGGCAGGTGGCGCAGGATGAATTCCATCCGAGCCTTCCATTGCTTCTCGCTCTCCGAATAGGAGCGGAACTGCTCCGCGAAGTCAGCCGCCTGCCGAACCCCGGAAACCAGTTCCTCCACCGCGGCGGCCGCCTCACCACCCACCATGGCGCCAGCCGCCGCCGAGGGCCGTACCTGTCCGCTGCCTTCCCGACGCGCACCGCGCCACTGCGCCACGGCTAGAAGGACCCCAGCGACGCACGACTGCTCTGGAGGACCTGCCTGGAGCGCCCTCGCGGGGAGTGGCGGGCCTGAGGCGTGAGGGTCGGGGGATGAGCCCGCGGAGCCCAGCCCCTCAGACCTCTCTGTGGTTTATGGCAGCTGACGCTAGTCTACCCTGACGTCGCAAGGGTAGTTGGATGATTATCCCGCCCAGAAGGGGAGGGAAAATGAGGCCTGCAAGGCAACAGTCGAGCATCCCCCGCCCAGTTGGGCAGCCTCAAGACAATCAGAATTAAACAGTGCCCTTCATTCCCTGGGGGTTTCTCAGGCGCTACCTCAGCCAGGGCAACTTCAGGGGTCCTGGCCTTAGACCAGTGAATACCGGGGTCTTTTGCCTGTGGGAGTCTGAGGTCCATCTTTGATAGATTCTCAATGGTTTCAACACCACACCCAGCTTCCTGGAGCAAGGCACCATCCATTCATCTAACCAATAAATGACTACCAGGCAATTTGTTAGGTGCCGGATAGGCAATGAGAGTAAACTCAGAGTCCGGGTCTAGTAAAATGTACAGTCTAATGGTGACTCAAGGAGCTCTGGTAGCGTAGTGGTTACGAATTGTGCTGCAAACCTTAAGGTCAGCAGTTCGGAACTACTAGCTGTTCCACGGAAGAAAGCTGAGGCTTTCTGCTCCCTTAAAGATTTGCAGCCTTGGAAACCTTACCGCTCCACAGCACATAACCACCACCACCAGTGGGGGACTCAGACTTGGGTGAAGTCGCTAATGTAAATGGAAAATGTCAACGGTGACACATATTAATAAGAGTGCTGTGAATAAGAATAAGCAAAGGACCTGACCCAGACTTAGGTTCAGGGAAGGTTTCTCCAAAGAAGCTATGCTGGACTTGGACATTGTCTACCCAAAATGGAGGGGGGGGGGGGTTGTCTACAAAGGCAAGAAGTGACTGGCTTACAAGCTTTCAAGAGGGAACCTAGATCCAGAGGGCCTGGAGGAAGGTAGAATCTCCAGTGAATAATATTCAATCTGACTAGCCGGGGCTGATGCAATGAAATACAGACGGGTCTCTTGTGATACAATAGTGAATAGTTGTCATCAGGACTGTTTGCGAGGGTTGGAAATGTAAAGGTAGACGTTTTATAGCAAGGAGGGGAGTGGTTAACTTTTCAGTCTAGGAACGGAGGTCCCTAGGACAATCAAGGGAGAAGAGCAGAGAGCGGGGACCCTACCCAGAGAAGCAGTGATGCCTGAAATGGAGGCAGAGATGATGACGTGGAGCGATGGAGCAGCTGGAGACTTTAGGCCCAAAGAGGGAGAGCGACTGTGTGCAGAAGATCTGCGGGGTACTGGGGGCAGGATTGCAGGGTACACCCTTTGGTTGGTTGATGATGCATGGAGAGGATTGTAACCATGGCAATGAGATGATATATAATAGAATGAATGTAAAATTAATGTTCTCCCATGTAAACTATCACGTAATTCACAATAAAACATTAAAAAAAAAAAAGCTATGCTGGAATGCTGAAGGATGTGCAGGAATTAACTAAGTAAAGAGGAGCAGGCCCTAGTCAGAGAGAACCTGATCTGGTAAGGGAGCAGCAAGATCTGTGTGACTGGAAGGAAGGATAGAAGAAATGTGGCTGCAGAGATCCACAGAGCTAGTAGACCATTGACTGGTAGGCATTTAATCTAAATCCACACAGAAATAGAGAGCCACTGAAGGATTCCAACCAGAGCAGTGACCTCAGTTTCCAAAAGATATTGAAAGGAACTGGAATGCATGTATCCAGAAGAGATGAGCAGATGGGCCTAAGGGTGTTTATTTAACTGATATAGCTCAGCTGTCTGTGCTAAGGTCAAATAGCAGGCCCCCCTGAGAGAGAGAGAGAGATGGGCTTCCTTGTAATTGGTGAGTTTCCTATCCCTTGCAGTGTTCAAGTATAATCAGTAGGAAATCATTTGACTGTCAGTCTTGAGAGATTACAAACCTAATAGGCTTCCCCATGGTCCCACATCAAATGTGGGATTAGGGTACAGAGCTGGTCCTAGAATCCAGAATCTAGGACTCCAATGCAAGTCCTATATCGTGAAGGGGCCCAAGGGCAGGAGCGGCTTATGTGCTATCTGCTGCTTCTGCAGTTTCTGTATGGCTTCAGGGCCCACAATAGATAGAAAGCAGGTAGAGCATGAAAATACCAGGCATTCTAAGCAATAGACTGTGCCTAGAGACCTGCTCCCAGGTTCAGTGACATTCATTTACCATCAATAGTAGAGATTCCTACGACTCACACCCAAGTGGCCAGGGAGAGTATAGCAGTCTGTGAAACCAAGGGCAGACCCAGTTTCTGGCAATTAGGAATCAGAAGCCAAAGCTGGGATTCCCAAAATTGAACACATATCACATCTCTTGAGGTGCTTGTTAAAATAGCAGGCTCCCCATGGATGAATCTTGAAAATTTATGCCAAGTGAAATAAGTCAGTCACAAAAGGACCACGGACTGCGAGAACAACCAGTCTGAAGACACTTAACAACAGCAGCAATGGCAGGAGGGAAGGAGAGAGGGAAAAGAAGGAACCAGAGTTTAGAGAACACTGAACTTCTATCAAGGGTGATTAAAACTATTGGAGGAATTGTTGTTGTTGTTGTTGTTGTTAGGTTCCATCAAGAGGGCTATAACGCATAGTTACCCGATGCACAACAAAACAAAACACTGCCTGGTACTACGCTATCCTCACAATTCTTACACTTGAGTCCATTGCTGTGCTGACCCCATTTCCTAGGGTGTCTTCTGCTTTTTCACTGACCTTCCCGTTTACCAAGAATGATGTCATGCTCCAAGGACTGGGCTTGATAATGTCTAAAGTATGAGAGAGAAAGTCCTGGCTTCTAAGGAGCATTCTGTCTGTACTTCTTCCAAGACAAATTTGTTTGTTCTTTTGGCAATCCATGGTACTTTCAATATTCTCTTCCAACACCATAACTCAGATGCACCAATTAATCTATGGTCTTCTTAATTCATTGTCCTACTTTCATATGCATATGAGGCTATTGAAAATACTTGGGTCAGGCACGCCTTAGCCCTAAAACTAACATCTTTGCTCTTGAGCACTTTAAAGAAGTTTTGGGCAGTAGATTTTATATATAGGATGCTTTATTTTGAGTTATGTGATAGTTTACATGGGAGAACATTAGCTTCACACTGATCCCATCATATAAGTTTCATTGCCATGGTTATAATCCCCTCCTTGCATCATCAACCAACCACAGGGTATACCCCGCAAGCCTGCCCCCAGGTCATCAGCACACAGTCCCTCTAGCTCTCCTGGTCCAAAGTCCCTAGCTGCTCCATCTCTCCTCATCATCGTCTCTGCCTCCATCTCTGGTATCACCACTCTCTGGGTAGGGTTCCGATCTCCACTCTTCTCCCTTGATGGTCCCAGAGACCTTTGCCCCTAGACTGCAAAGTTAATCTCTCCCTTCCCTTTGCTACAAAACATCTACCTTTACATTTCCAGCCCTCATATTCAGTCCTGATAACAATTATTTACCATTGTATGGCAAGAGACCTATCCGCATTTCCTAAATTGGATACTACTCAGTGGAGATTCTACCTTGTTCCACATCCTCTGCATCTAGGTTCCTTCTTGAAAGCTTATAAGCCAGTCACTTCTTGCCTCTGTAACCACCCCCATTCTGGGTAGCCAATGTCCAAGTTGCCCATCCCTGTCCTCTCCTTGTGTGGAGGGGGTGGGAGTGATCCCCGCTGTGAAGATTTGTTCCCTCTTTTGAGCTACTGCTTCCATAGGTGTAGATCAATTTAATAAAATTGTATCAGATTATTCTTTTTTTCCTCTTTCTACTTCTGGTTGAGCTCTGATCATCCAGCCATTGAAGCCAGGTCAGGTGGGTATTATCTGCAAGTGTAGGTGTTCTTATGCATATGCCCTCTCTTCTTATCAGCTGAACACTTCACTCTCCACTCTAGTCCTCTGTGGCTGTGTGACTGACTCTGGGCCCAAGAGTCCCCAGGTCTTGCCACACTGCTGGCCAGCCAGGTCTCCAGCCAGGTTCACAGGAGTCTGTTGAATGTTGTAGGGCTTAGCTCCCAGCTCCACTGCTGCCCTTCCCTCACTTCCCCCTATTGGGACAAAAGTGTTCACCAATCAGAGCATGTATTCCCATTGGGTCCCAGCCTTCGAAGGAGGTTTCCGCTGAGGGGACCCGACCACTTGCTTTGATGTCTCCTGGACAAGCCACTTGTTTGTTCTTGTAGTAATCAGTCCATCTGCCTGTATTGTTTTGTATTTTTCCTGTCAGTCTTTCTTTCAGGAAGTATCTTCTGTTCTTCTGGCTGCTCCAGGCTGGTCTGCTTGTCCTTTCAAGTGGAAATTTCCACTCAGAAGATTCTGGATGCTGTTCAGGAATCCACCTATGGTCTTGTGTAATAAAGAGACTCCGCAGGAAGCCTCCTTCCCTGGGCACGTTGTAGCCCCATTTTAGGTATTGCAATCAGTTATAGGCAGAAGATGGACTTACAAGCTTTCTATGGTGACATTTCTGGCTATTCCTTTCTCTACCCGTCCAGTGTCTATTTTATAGTGGTATACCAGGGAAACCAAGATTCAAAAGACAGCCAAGCATCTTAACATTGTTTCCCCCTTTTCCCCATTCCAACCGTGTCTCAATCTCTGTATCCCAGAGCCCTGTTGTTCCAAGGTTGTGCATATATCATTATTTGCCTCTGTCCCACTTCAGCTTCACATTCATCCTATTGTATTACATTTCACTGCAATGATTACAATCCCCTCCATGCATCATCAAATAACCAAAGGATACACCCCACAGGCCTGTCTCCCCTGGCTGACAGCAAACAGCTCCTCTCCCTCCCTGAGTCCTGTGTCCCCAGCCACTCCATATGTCCATGTCAT